ATAATTAACGCCGTTACGCAAAAATATTTTGAATGAATTTTCGTCAAATCTTGCATAGTTATCGAGATATCACCCCGGAAGGCCCGGAAAGCGGACGCGCGCGTCCCGCCACGCATCGCGGCCACGCGACAATGAAAATGGTTGGAAATAGACGAAAACTGCAGGGATAAAAAATGTTCGTTATGGAAAAGTACACAATTTTTCTTCCCTAACATTGTTCCATAATTTCAATAGTCAACGGAATAACCTAATGCAAACAAGCAACAAGATCTCCAATAGTATTCAATTTTCCAATTCATTGAAGTGTAGTATACTGCAACTTCTAGATTGTTTGCAGTAGATTATCCCGTTAATCATCAGAATCATGGAAAAATGCCACAAAACCAAATTTGTGTACTTTTTCAAACCGAACATTCTTTCTTTTCAACTGTTTTTCTTCATCTCCAACCATTTTCATTGAAGTGCGGACGCAATGCGGGCAGGTCACGCGCGTCTCGTTAACTATGAAGGAGAGTCTGACACAGAACATGTCACAGCGTATGGACTATAATTAAAGTACTCAATTCGAAGCATATATTGACATTCAATTTGAAAATAATTATCTTAATAAATATTACAGATATCACAACTCGAAAAACTTGCGGAAAATATGAAGAAAAATTTGGGAAAATTTTTAAACGAAGATCAAATGTTATTCCTCGAGCTTGAGGATCCTACCACTAATACGAGATGCTGGAATGAAGAAACGATACGCAAGGCGATACGTAATCGATGCAAGCCAGGAGCAGACGTCTACGAGTATCTAAGAAAAGAGGAAGGATATCCAGGACCAACTTACAATACAATTTTTCGCCGTATCGCGCACGTGAAGTTCGAGCCAGGACAAGCTGGAGAGATGATTCACTGGTTGGCGGAAAAAATTTCGCAAGACAAGACGCCAAATGTAAACTTCTGTGTCATAAGTTTTGATGAAATGAAAATTCATCCGAGCGTGTGTTATGATCGCGGCTTGAAGAAATATATTGGATTAACAATACCTGGATTAGCACGAAATGATGAGGAGGCAGGACGAAAGGGTGAAAATGCGCTAGCCGTCGTTGCGCGCGGCCTCACCTCCCACTGGAAACAGCCTCTAGCTTATGCTTTCACGTTAAAATCACTAGATTCACCGCTATTATATCAATTTTTATTGAATATCATTCATGAATTACATGCTAAAGGGTTGAATGTTGTTTGTCTATCTTCTGATATGGGTGGTACTAATCAAGGCATGTGGTCCAATCTCGGAGTACACTCTTTGCGGGAACAATGCACTCCATCATATCAACACCCAGTGAATGAGAATCAGAAAATGTATGTAGCTCCAGATCCTCCTCATATTTTAAAGAATATGTGGTGTCAATTGCATCGCACAGATTTTATCATTCCGACAACCAGACAAATTCAAGAGGAATTGTCAACTCAGAGAATTTCCATGGAATATGTTTATCACTTATTAAAGCAGCAAGACCAAGTCAGAGGTATTACAGTTGCTCATAAACTGAAAGCCATTCACTTCAATCCAGGACAATTCGATAAAATGAATGAGATTAGCAACAGAGTTTTTCGCGGAACAAGTTGGACGAACGAATTCAGGTGTCCCCCGCGAAGCTGAAACTACTGGATGGTTCATTTTTAAAGTGCACAAATGGTTTTCGACAATTACTGCCCGCCACAAATCAGAAGGCCTCGGCCGAGACTCTCAGAGTTTGGCACGAATTGAAGAACTGAAGGATTTCATTGAAATAATGAGGGAATTGTCCTTTGAACCAAACAATGAATGGAAATCGATACAACGTGGTGCCATTCTCGTAACCACAACCATCCCCCATTTCCACAATGATCTAGTTATGACGAATAAACTGGATTATTTAGTACCATGCCGCATTGGATCTAGTCTATGTGACAATCTTTTAGCTCAAGCCAGATCTTCAGGAGACATGCATCCACAGCCAGGGCGTTTGAGACACAAATTTCGTCTGCTGGCAGTCGGTATGTTTTTACGTGTCCTGACTGGATCTTCCTATAACGACGATGAAGAACCATTCTACATGAATTTATTGAAAGGAAATACGGTGGAATCTAAATTAATCGAAGATGAATCCAATCGTGAGAAATTGATTTTCAAAGAGGTTTCTCTGACAAAAATTCAAGAGTTTGGTTTACATTACGTGGCTGGATGGGTTGCACGGGACATGAAAGGCACATGTGAAGGATGTAATACATCTTTGATAGCAGAAAATCCAGATGAAAATACTCCCTATCAATGGACAGTGGCAATTAGCAATGGTGGATTGATACATCCCACTTTGTACTTATACCAACTACTTGAAATTGCAGAGAGAATATGCCGAGGAAACCAAGAGAAAATTCTTCGAATCAATAATGTGATAGAGAATTTAACACAAGTGATTTGCGAACGTATAACACCATTTTTGCGAAGTCAGTTTTGTCATGAGCACCAATTATTACATAAAGCCGTGGAGAAATTCCTTGCTCTCCGTGTGCATGTCATAGCACATGATGCTTCCATACCAATTATGGAAGTTCCATTTTCCTCAAAAAGTGGATTTATGAGGGCTGCAGCAATGAATGCAGGTAAAAATGATCTGGAAAAAGTTAGTTACAAAGGAAAGTACCTCAAAGATCGAATAACCCCAATGACTACCAGACCTTCAACTGCATCATCAAAATACTCTAAGGCAGCTTCTCTGAATACCACCACTGGTTCGAATATATTACCAGCATTCCGTCAGCCTGGTCTATTGCAATTGAAAAGTTCTGTCTGTGATAGTTACTCTAATTTTCAAGTTAAGCCTGTGATAAAAACTTACGCCAAACGAAAATAATTGGGCAATGCAATAATGGATTTTTTAGATGTTTTTTCTCGCTGTATATTGTGGAAGACTCACTAGTTTTTTGGAAGTATATTTAGTGAATGTGGCCCCGTTCTACATATAGAAATTGTTGATTTCGTTTTTATTGCCAATGCTATCATTTTGTATAATTTATTATATATTGAAATATATTCTCAATGTTTAGATGGGAATATCATGGAATTGAATGCTGAAAAAGAAGTAAAACATGAATATTTTAAAAAATGGAAGACTAGACAATATGGCCATTATTTTAAATTGCATTTGAAAACTTTATATTTTTCAAATAAAGGCATGCGTTTACGAATTCTTGACATTCCAATATGTACTAGTCTGAGCATCCGACAGTTCGGCGGCTCCGGGGACGGTAGGGGAAACAGAGGAGTAAGGGGATTCAAAAAGCACAGCGGGTCGAGTCTGGTAGTAGAGAAGGGGAACGGGTCGACTGAGATGTCACCTTGCTGGTCTGCTGCAACTACCGCGCGGGACACTTTGCATAACAATGCTTGAGAATACCTTTCTCTATCATACCTTATGATGGCTGGGCGAGCTGCCTGTGCCGGTAACTCGGCAGTAGGGCCAGAAGAAGAATATCCATGGATTTTTGGAGTGGGGAACAAGTATATGAGTGGGAATTACGTAGAGTGGGGGTACCCTGGGCAGGGAAAACTTCTGCTAGAAGCCCTATAGCAGTTACGTTGTCACAGGGGTAGGTTCGAAGGGGGGTTTATGTCCTCCTTGTCCTCAATGTTTACTTTATGTTTTTCCGTTAATTCATTCGCCCACTAATTAATATTAAGGTATGAGACAAGGACTTTTCGATGGAGAATTAGATTCCCCATCTATCAAGACCCGTTTCATCCCTTAATCTTTGTAATAAAAAAATTAAAACTGCGACGAAAGTCGCGGCGCTATGAGAAACCCAATGGTTCATCGGCGCAGAGTGCCACCCCAATAATTCGTCCGCTAATTAAAAAATCGTCTCTCCCCTCCTAATTAACATTAAAGAATGAAACCGATGCTGTTCGATGGAGAATTAAATTCCCCATCCAGCAACCCCCGTTTCATCCCTTAATCTCTGTAATCAAAAAATAAAAATTGCGATGAAAGTCGCGGCGTTATGAGAAACCTAATGGATAACTCGCCCGCTAATTAAAAAATCGTCTCTCCCCGCCTAATTAACATTAAGGAATAAACCCAATGCTGTTCGATGGAGAATTAAATTCCCCATCCATCAACCTCCGCTTTATCCCTTAATCTCTGTAATCAAAAAATAAAAACTGCGACGAACGTCGCGGCGCTGTGAAAAAGCTAATGGTTTCTCGGCGCAGTGACTCCCGATAATTCGCCCGCTAATTAAAAAATCGTCTCTCCCCGCCTAATTAACATTAAGGAATGAAACCAATGGTGTTCGATGCAGAATTAAATTCCCCATCCAGTAACCTTCGTTTCATCCCTTAATATCAAAAAATCAAAAAATAAAAACTGTGACGAAAGTCGCGACGCTATGAAGAACTTGATGGATAACTCGCCCGCTAATCAAAAAATCGGCTCTCCCCTCCTAATTAATATTGAGGAATGAAACCAATGCTGTTCGATGGAGAATTAAATTCCCCAATCATCAATCCCCGTTTCATCCCTCAATCTCTGTAATCAAAAAATAAAAACTGTGATGAAATTCGCGGCGTTATGAGAAACCTCATGGATAACTCGCCCGCTAATTAAAAAATCGTTTCTCCCCTCCTAATTAATATTAAGAAATGAAACCAATAGTAGGTAGACAGGGCAGGTTCTGGACCAAGGCTCACCCACCACCAGGTGGCGCCACGGTCGTGGAACGTTCGGGAAGGATGACGTCACCGATTCGCGGGAAATGTGTGACGTCATATTGGGTTTTAAGTTGATTGATACACCCGTTTTTGTAAATATTTCTGCAAATAATTCTGTATATCATCAATCTCATAATTACCTGGTGGAATGATAACTGTATACTTCTTCTTCTCAGTATCAGAGTAGTAAAATTTATTATTGTTTTCTGTAATATTTGGAATCGAATTGAATGTCAATAATTCAACAAGAGCCAAACTATAGCGATGATGGGGAGATAATTCGATGGAGGGAAAATAATTCGCTTCCAAAATGGAAGATGTTCCTGACAATGTTAATGTGAACGATTCACCCATGGTTGTCAGTTGTAGACTAACTCGATCCATCAATGTGAATGATATTTATAACAGTCCATTGAGGAACTTGAGACATAGATGACCACATATGATTGTATCATGTTCTTGATGCTTCTGGTGATTGTATTTGACAAGGCTACCAACACCGAAATAATCCATCAATTCTTTTGGTGGTTGCACATTGCCAAAACTATCGAAATGGATAATTTCATTATTCCCTTATTTTTGAGTTTAATATAACTAAATATAGCTTAAATAAATAAATATAGGAAAAGAAGCGTTGACACGTCTCTCAGGAACACATCTACACGCAAATGCTGTCGCCAAACAAACTTGTTTCACGTAGTTGTCCTCCTCCTTCTACGTTGACATTTTCGCTTAACTGAAAAAGGAGAATCATTGTTGAGCATGACCATTTCATTTAAATACGTGATTTTTATAAAGTATGTTTCTCTGTTGTTACCTCCGTATTCTTCATCCTTTTCTGCAGACAAGGATTTCAATTCCATTTTTGATGCTCGCTTAAACATTTCTCCTATAGAAATTGATAATTTTCAAAATGGTCTATGGGGAATCCAAAATTCCAATATGCTTTAACAGTTAAATTCTAACCCACTTGTAACATTGTCCCGCAAACTGATACATTGTTCTTCATCAATTCTCTTCGATTGCTCTTCGGGTAGACATTGCTTCAGAAATGTATATATTTCATCTAGAGTAATTCTGTAATGAGATGGATAGATATTAATGGATTGGATTCAACCGTAGTCAATCCACGGATATTAATACAATTGTTGATGCATACTCTTGTTTAGATACATTTTTTTGTGCCACTAAAAGACACATGTCCCGATTAAACCTTATCTCCATGAGCTTGGTCTTCACAATCGGTAGCCCATTCTTCATTCGTGTCATATTCGTCACTTCATCTCGCAGTATCTCTTGCAAGTTTCCTAGAATTCAAGATGCAATTCTCCTATGAGATTCTCGACATGGGAATTATATCAGGATTGTTTATCCAAATGTAAATGTTTCATACGTACGAATGAATGAGAAGACGGGAGGGGATTTACCTCCGGCTCGAGGTGTGAATTGTCGATTGTCAGCCTCGGAATCATTGTTGGTGCGAATGCAACAATTATGCACCGACACAATTTCTGGAATTCGTCCCCATTGATTATTTACATAATCCGCCCAATGACGAAGATCAGGAAATAATTTCTCATAATAAGAGGATTTTTGAGAAATTATTTTGATTCCTTTTTCAGCATGATAATGTGACAGTAGTGGAAGGGAATGCAATAGGTATTTTGGCTCTCGTGGGGCATCATGTAGATCATATTTTTCAAGCAGCTTCTTCCAGTGTTCAGATGATGCCTATAATGACGAAATTAGTATTAAACATTCTTTCCATCTGGTGGAAAACAGTTGAAAGCTCCAATCTAACTTACTTTGATGAAATGAAACCAACACCCCATCAGCCTTGCCAAAGGTAGAACATTTGCGAAAGCTTTAAGGGCTGCTCTCTCAAAATCACTGACGATCAATTTAACATTCTTTAAGCCTGGTACTATTTTCGAAAAGCGACATAATATGGCTTCGTATAACACAGCAGTAGCCCGTCGGCATACCGCAAAAACAGCAGCAAATGACTGGGCAAGTTGATGAAAAAATTAATGATTCCTACTTATAAAATCAATAGGCTCTCGTATTCTTACCTTGTCATTTTTCCGGAAGCTAATAATCCATATCTGACTCGCCTGTGGAATGTCCGGGGTCGCCTTTAAAATTAAATTTTTTCCTATCATACTAACAGAAACCTCGCTTTGTTCGATTGATTTTTGAAGGAGAATGAATTTCACTGCACGGATGGCGAAATCAAAATCTATTTCACCCTATGATGGTGGACAATGGCATTCAAAGAGTATTCACGAAAAAAAAATTAATAAAAAAATAGTAACGGAGAATCGCACCGGAAAGAATATTAAATAGTATGAATAGAACCCAGTTGAGTCTGCAGATTGAACACGTCTTTACATGCCATTGAATGGCAAACCGCAAAAATTATTTGAAAAATTGACTTTGTCAATTGAAGCGTCTAAAAATTTATAAAAGTTTTTAGAACAACATGATTTTCGAAATTTTTAGAAAATACAAATCATTTCCGACAGGTGAATCATTTTTTTCCATGGTAGAATTACCAGTCATGCCATGTTGTTAGAAACTCCCTAAAAATGCGCCCGGGCACTGTAGAGTGCATTCGGCAACACTGCAGTGAGATAAGAACAAACATGTTCTCAAACCACGAAACTGTGCCTTTTCAGGATGAAAATAACTCATATAGAAGAAAATTCATCAAGAAATTTTTTGTCCGTAAGTTACAAAATTTCTATAATATCATTGTTATTATTATTATTAATTCATTTAAGGATTCATTCCCTAAGGATTAATTTCTTGTCTGTGACTACTGAATAGCCGAAATGAAAAGCTACTATCCATTGTTTTGATAAAACGAACATTTCCCGGGAGCAAAATATGTATGGGAGTATCGAATAACGAAGAGGTTGTGCTAAAAATGACATTTCTCGCTTGCACAGAGAACACAATTTTGTTGGGACTACAAAATCTATTTTGGCGGCAAATTTTTGTTCATTTTTCTCTGTGTGGAGCCTTATAGTAAGATTGATGAAGTTATTAACTATGCTTGCATGAATACCTTCATAGTTCCGTCTGCCATGATTATTTCAGCTTCGTTCAGATCATTCAATATTCCATCGTTAACAAAGAGAAGGGCGGAACCTTGGCAGTCACCGTTTGCTGCTCGTGGGGTACCCACAAGTCCCTTGAAATTCCCTTCCACTATCTCCTTCATATGTGGATTTTCAACCATCAATGCTCCTAATTCTTCCAATGTCTTCGGCTGATGAGCAAGTCCAATTTCCGCCCTTTCGCGTCAGACAATTTGTTCGCAAGCACCGGGTGAAATTAGTTCCCCCGCATTCTTATTACTTCAAGCAAGGATATATGTTATAAAATAAAGCTATTAATTGTTGCAATTTGAACATAAATTTTGACCATTATAATTTTTACTTGCGTGAGGCCGTTCTGTATATCTCTGACGAATATTCATTCGTGCTACTAGCCAATTTTCTTATTTCTTCCTTCATCGCAATAACGTCTGATTCTTTACTTGCATCAGAATGACGATGTTTCGCTTCATTAAAACTGATTTTTCCATCAGGAGTGAGGAACATTTTTACCATACACTGGAAAACTGTACTGTGCTGTGTACATTGAAATGTTGTCCTATCCAAAGTCGTCCATACCAAGTGATAGAGATAGTTTTCATACCAATAGCGACGTCTTCCGTTCTTTTCAATGATTATCAATTTTTGATTTGCCTAGTCACGAGAGAAATACCCAATAAGGGATTATACATCGATCGAATGCGATATATACTAGAAATTGCAAAGAATCTCCCAAATAGGCTTTCGACAAGGAGAAAACCATTATTAACCACTGACCAACTTTTTTTCATAGCCTAGACGGAGAGAAGTGTTCAGTAAAAATTACGGAACTCATAATTCACTCACCGATTATGGAAGCGAATCAGAAAATTTAAGTGACGGTATCGAAATTGTTCACAGGAGATTCAGATAAAAATTACCGAACGCTCTGAAAAAATTCCGTAAAAGTTCCGTAAAATTTCCCTCAACCACATTTCGCTCCGGAATTACGGAAAAGATACGTAAATTTTATTGAATATTTCTCTCCGTGTTGTAGTTCTGAATGGAAGTTTTGTAAATGTCGTACAGAATCGACTCAGAAAGTTTAAGTGATGGTATCGTAATTTTCCACAAGAGATTCGGATAAAAATTATGGAACGCTCCGGAAAAATTCCGTGACAGTTCCATAAAATTTCCTACAACCACCTTTCGCTCCGGAATTACGGAAAAGATACGTTTTTTTTATTGAATATGTCTCTCCGTGTTGTAGTTCTGAATGGAAGTGTTGTAAATGTCATGAAATGTAGAGAAATAATATTTTTAGTGAGCGTCTGTATGTATGTGTGTGCGTATGTCCAGAACTGTGTTAATAATTCCGGAATACTTATTGCAAAAAAGCTGAAATTCTGGTTCTTAATTGGAACTAATGAGATACAAATCTGTATTAAATCTCAGCCCGAACGGTTCAGTGGTTACTGAGATATAGCGATTTCTCAAAAATCGTTTTCTGCGAATATCTCAAGAACGACCAATTTCATTTTGTTTTTTCGAAATAGTCGTCCTGATAATACCTATCCTATCGGATGGAATTTGAAACACCCAATCATGAAACAAGTAGGAGTTGTAGCCTATCCGACAGGAGATATGTGGCTGTTGCTATTTGTATTATTAGGCTTTTTCTTTTCTTTTATTTCTACCAATGCCATTGATAGTACGCATCTCTGTGATACGTATACAATGGCAACAAGATTCTACAGGGTGGATGTACGAAGGCTATAAAAGGTTAATTGTTATATCCGAAGACAGATAAAACGTCGAGGATTTGAATCGATATCCTACCTATCTCAAATACATATACCAAAAATCTCTAAGGATATTTCTATCCTTAGGTTTAGATTCTTTTATATTGTTGACACTGATTTCTCCTGTTTAACTTGTGGCTAGAGGACTTGGGTTCCGTAATGAATAGTATTTTGTTATTTATCAATCTAATATATGTTGGTTTATTCTGAATTGNAATGTTGGTTTATTCTGAATTGATTGGGTTTGGATACATTGATGTGAACATTTTTCGGACCCGAACGGGTGTTATGAATCCAATTTGACTCTACTTGGAAGAATATCACACGCCCGCTATTGTCAGCCTTAGGATGGTACGTTTATTTGTAGTTGATTGTGCT